CTGCTGAAGGGGGTAAGTCTAGCTCGATCAAACTTCTGTGCTTCTAATGATCACCAGCTTTGTGCTGATCCTGAGGTCTAAACCACTTTTCTTACACGTCTCGTCTCTGTGACTGTGTCTGGTCACAGTTGCTCAGTCCTTCTGCCTAGGTTGTCTTCCCCTTCCGTGCCTGTACATAAACAACAGAAAGCAACTAGGAAAATTTAAAACTTACTGGTTCAGATGGCTGAGAACAGGAATCTTCAGGTCTAGCTCTGGACTCTGGTCACTTCTTCTCACTAATCGCTAAGTGCTTTAACTTCTATCTTATGTATTTGCTAAACATAGAAGAGAAAGGAAAGACTTGCTCAAAGGAAGATAGCACAGAGTCCTCTGTAGACGTCAGGGACCACTACAGGCAGATGTGAATTGCTAATTTTTTCCTCTTCTTCAAGAACCCGGCTTATAATGAGAATTTATTCTTTATATATCATCCCATGTAACTAGACATCTATTCCTGCTAGCTGACAGACATCAGCATCTCTTGCATTTGCACCAGCTCTAAGATGATAGTCTTTCCAGCAGGTCTGCAAAGATGTGCTCGCGCCAGGACAAAGACCAGTGCCACCGGCAAGAACGATCCTCATGCCACAGCAGTGAAGGGTGCCATGGGAGCAGTGGTGGATCTGGATGCCACGGGAGCAGAGGATCTGGGTGCCACGGGAGCAGCGGTGGATCTGGATGCCACGGGAGCGGAGGATCTGGGTGCCACAGGAGCAGCAGTGGATCTGGATGCCATGGGAGCAGTGGGGGATCCTGCCATGGAAAGCCACAGGATTGCCAGCAGCAAATTTATCAAGTATCTTCAAAGATGAAGTGATCGGGACATTATCTGCGTGTTATATAATACACATCCATGTCCTTGATCTTATGCTTTGCATGTCTTCTAGCAATCTTCCAAGAAAACGTCTCCTCTCTCTCTCCTGGCGAGCCCTGTACCTCTGATGAGCTTATCTGTGGGTGCTAAAATAAACTGTGTACATTCACGTTGGCGCGGTTTTCTCTGCATCGGTCTGTAACTATATATGAGCCATTACAATTCGGAGTTCATGAGAGTTTTGTGTTCATGATTTTTCTTTCACCTTGTATTTCATATCACGATACAAGACACCTTGTGCTTGTTTAATGGCCCTGAAGTTGCCCTGCCCAGGCACATGCAATAGGAGCGGACACTGCCACACTCTCCCCTATGGACTCCAAAGGAAAAGAGAGACAATAAAGTTTTTTCAATGATGACATTTTAGGAGGCCATCTCAGGCCTCTGCAGTGCAGGCAGCTCTGCTCCATGCCACCCTCCCACAAAGCTGGAGACCCAAAACCCCCTACCAAGACCCTGCACGCTGCATTGCACAAGCCTGTGGGGTCAGCTCTGGGCACAACTGTGGGGCAGAAAAAGTCCTATAGGCAAAGACACCCGTGATGGGGCAGAAACCCCTTTTTTTTGCCATCTGGCCTCAAGGTGACATCCTTGGGGCAGGTATCTCCACGTGTTTGCATCAAACCCCCCCCCCAGCAAGCCTTTCTAGAAACCCTCTGCCCAGCACTTCCAAGAGCCCTGGGTCGAGCCGGGGGCGTTGCAAGGTGCTAGCATTACACAATGAACTGACGAATTTCTTCTCAGCTTGTAATTAAAATGAATTGTGTAATTTATTGGTTTGGTATTGCCATTCATGAAATGGATCTTGCCCTGATAAGATTATTCTCGAGTGTGTCACGATGATCTGAAATATCTGGCATTGCTGAAAAGGGTGCAGACAGCAGCCCTGAGCCCTGCTTTCCGTGTAGGAATCATTTGAAAAGGTTGGTGGTTGTGCGAGTCTGGCATTTCCCTTGAGCCCCCATTGCAAATCCTATTTTCAAGATACGTTAAGGTGGACATCCACAAAATCTGGAGGTGCCCAGGACTGCTGGCTGGGTGCTGCTGGTCTTTAACAAACCCAAGAAACTCAGAACAATTAAAACATGAGGAACTGAATACAATGCAATATTGAAAGCCAAAAATTATTTTGAGACTTTTTTTGACGGAAAGTATTTACCATTATTTCTTCTGATGCCAGAACAAAACATAATTAAACAGAAGTGACCAAACCTGGGTACAGTTTGCCCTGACACTGTTCTAGTTCATAGTAGCAATTAAGCAATACAAAAGAAGCATTTAGGTTGCATACCTGATTCATTAACCCTGCCCTGTCCGCTCGCCTTTCCAAAAATCCTACAGTCACAGCAAATGGTGTGAGATGTTTTTTGGGTTATGGGAGCTGCTCGGGACTTGTGTTCAAAGCAGGAGCTCACGAGAGGCTGGAGAGGCACCTCGGTGCCTGGCACCTTGTTTAGTTTTCCAGCCGCTTCCCGAAGGATGCAGGGTGTCTCAAAAAGCATTTGCAAAGGCGGGATGGGGCTAAGCCTCCACCTCACTGCGGTCAGCGTCTGGGAATAGGATAAAAACTTCATGAGCATGGGGAAAGTAAAATAGAAGGCAGGAGGGGTGGATCAAAAATACTAAATGCTCGAGCATCTCTGCAGGCAAGTGAAATATTTTTCAGCCAGTGTTTTCCAAGCACCGACAAAATCATAGCAGTTCCCTATTTCAGCTACCAATACTGATTTTAGTCTTTTATTTGCTGCCTGTTTAATTACTGAAATGTTTTCTACAAGTAGTGTCAGAAAAGGACAAAACAAGATCCGCAGTCCTAAGCACTTCCTAGCCCATGCAGCAGAGCTACAGGAATGATACAGGGAGTATCTCAAATTATTGTTTGCGATTAGCTCTCACTGCAAACGTGGTACCTGGCCTGGCCTGAAGGCTCATGCAGGTCTGTGCATCCATCCAAATAACACTCAATTACAAGCTAATTGGGGAGCAGGGAAAAGTGCTCCAAAAACAATGTTTCTACAAGTTTGGAGAAAGTCCCCGGGGTCTGCCATCTCCCCGCAAACGCAGCAGCCACCCCAGGTCACCGTGCGTCACCGAAGACTGCACCCATGGGAGCCCTTCTCCTCCGCGTGGCAGCGTGGAAGATACAACCTGGGAAAAAAACCACCAGTGCTGCCACTCTGGCATTACTCACGGGCTGAAAGTTAACCACATAATTATGTTCCTTGCTAATCCTGGATCACTACCTAGGGCAGGTCTTCCCACTTCCAAAAATAAGAATCCCAACTGCTTTTGGTCCTTCTCGCAACAGCAGGAAACTTTTGACGGACAAAAAAAAAATTTTATAGGGGCTGTCTTTTCTCTCTCTTCACCACTCCACCGTATTTCGGCTGGTTTTAAGAGAAACGAACCAATAGTGGTATGAGTCAAATTGCTGCCAAGGAAGAGTCGTCTACCGTGCCAAAGGCGTCATTGGTACTTATAGGCACATCTCTGGGTTTATGGGCCTTTGCAGGACTAGAGCACCTCAAGACATTTTAAAAGGATGGTGTGGTGTAGGTATATGACATAATTCCCCCCACTAAATGCAAAGCGCTCCCCAGCTGTGATCAACACCAAAAACAAACGGGTGAAGCTGTGGAAACCGGGGCCACCCACACTACTCCCCCATTGGAGCTAAGCACAGGTAGAGCTGGCAATTAAATATTTCTGCGGCACAGGAAAGATGACCGATAACAAGAGGTGATACCTGGTGTGGATGAGGTGAGTCACGCAAGCAACCTGAAGAGTGGGGAGGCAAAAAAAAAAAAAAAAAAAAAAAAACACCAAAGAGGTAACAGAAAAAGCAAAGCTTGGTTACCAGATGGGGTGTGCAGAGAGGGTATAAAAGCACTCCTGTCCCGGAAAGCCTCACTCCTTCCTTGCCCCTTCGCTGCACGAGCATCTCAGGTAAGAGCGGCGATGCTGCAGGGCTTTGGGGCTCAGCACAGCATTCGAAACTCTCTGGGAGGCGGGTGGGTTTGGAGCAGGCTGAGCCCCACACCTTGCGCTGGGTTGGGGCTTGCTCTGCGGGTGCTTGTGAGCAGGGACGTGGGGTGAGGAGGGAACGCAGGGGATGGCAAAAAAGAGCAGAGAGATTTGTACTTGGAGGGAGGCTGGGGGTGTTGGTCTACTCCCTCCGGGAGTGAGATGGCTCCGCTTGGGAAAGCCAGCTGTGCTCAGCCTGCCCAGCTCCTCTGGATGCTCCCAGCGTCTTTGGCTGTGGCTTTGGTGGGACATTCCCTCAGGTGGTATAAGAAGCTGGTGCAAGGTTTAAAGATGTTTGTGGGATCTGGCTAAAATCGGATGAATGTACATCCAGATTTCTCTTTCATGGAAGAGCAGAAGCAGGAAAGGGAAGCCCCTGACAGCTCCCCTCTCCCCACAGGTCACCCCGAAACAC